ACAACACACTCATTTTATACTGGGCCTTAATTTATGTATTCACACGATTCAATATAATTTTATAAAGTTAAAAAAAAAATGTATGCAGTGTTTCATATTTTCATCTACAAAGTCCATCCGTGCGTTAATGTAATGCAATTTTGTTTCACCTTTTTTATTATGAGATCATAAGTGCCGTTTCACTGCGTACACGAATTTTACATGTACAAGCAAAGCCGTCGTATGTGCGTGTGTCACTGTATCAGTCAGTCTAGGACATTTTCAGATAATTTACATGTATTCGTTCCTGATCAGGGTCATTTTCCTCCACCACACTTTGGTGCAATGAATAAAAAGGATTTTATTTTACTTGGTGGAAAAAAGTATCATTACTATTCACGTCAATTTAATTTAAGTTAATTTCTTCACTATTCGGATGTTTTATGGACACCTTTTAATTGCTCAAGAATTTATTGTTGAGTGATCTCCACATAATACGTACATTGAATTGAAATTAGGCTGATTTTATCACATCATTACATGTAAATAAACCTCTAAGAACATGAAGGTTGAAATTTAAGCTTCAAAATAGACTTTGATTTGCCTTACACAAAACATAAAATAGTTTACTTGACAGCTTCTTTTATCTCTAAAGATAATACAAGGTCAGACACAATAGTGCCTACTCTCTCTCTCTCTCTCTCTCTCTCTCTCTCTCTCTCTCTCTCTCTCTCTCTCTCTCTCTCTCTCTCTCTCTCTCTCTTAGTATTTTGCATATTAGGGACCCTTAATATCAGAGTCTGTATACTGCAATAATACATGTGGCCATGACCGCGCCAGAGACCTATATGGTTGTTGAGCGTCCGTTTCGGATGGGGTACGTCGCGAGTTCTAACACTGACCAAGTCATTCAAAGACCAAAAAATGATACTTAAAACTGCCACGCTTGGCGCCCAGTAGTAAAAGGTCACTGCTAAGACTGGTCTATCTTGTGTCAGAGTAATGTGGCACGTATTACATGATACTACGCGTCTGCGGCATAATGCCCCACTAATAGACATCACTATGACCGCCGCATTATATATATTGTAGCGATATGACTGAAAAATTGTTAAAGTTATGTTATCAATCCAACGCAACACACAAACACACACATACACATACACACATATGTGGCTTTAACAATAAGATATCCATAAAGCTTAGAGAATGTCACGATCGCTCAGTCCTGGTTATCAGGAATTGTATCTGATTGGGTATTATTACAGCATTTGATGTGTAAATAACGCCGTAGGCAGTGTTAAATTCCTTATGCCAGTCGCTAGCTACGCAGACTATAGAATAGCCGCTAGTCAAAGGATGGTAGTCTTCACAACCAGGCCTTTAACAAGGGTTCTGAGATCAAAGGAAGCCCGCCGCGTAAACAGACGGCAAGAAGACAGTGACCGCTACGTTTTGATTGGGTCAGTCCACAGCGACATCAAATCGGAATTAAGATAAGTGTGGGATTAAAGCTTAGATCGAAATTAGAGCTCAAACTTGCTGTAAAAATTATAAGCAGACACCTACGAATATTCATAAACAGTAGGCTTGCTACTCCGAAGGGAAGCCACTCGTAATTTGGTGGAAATCTTAGTTAAATGTTAAAAAATGTTATAAAAAAGGAAAAGCTTCGATAAGGTTAGTTAGTTATTTGCTCGAATTTTGCAAAACCTTACGGCGTCATAATTGTATTTAATAGTAGTATGTATACTCAGTTACTGGGATTATTTTAGTATGTAAAATTACCTAGTAGTGTTTTATTTATATGCATGTTTGTGATATGGATTTGAGTTTACATAGATAATTGTGTAGATTGTTAGCTCGACAGAATTAATATTGTAATTATTAGCTGGTATGTTACTTCGTAATAACCAGTACATTTAGTAATGCGTTATGTTAGAGTTTACGCATGTGTGAATTGGAGTTTGGAGAAATGATTGAAGTGTGTCAGATTTGTTACAATAGATATATGAATATATCAGAGCATAGATATTTTAATACTTGTATATTTTGTATGAGTTGTAATCTTTGAGATGCGTCTGATTATTGTGATATTGTCAGTAATGGGATTATGAGTATGTTCTGATGTAAATCAATTTATTGTTGTATGTATACAAACTATTGATACCGTGCTTCTTTAGGTTGTATTATTATGTTGTGTTTTACGATACAAGAATATATGCGTATTTCGGTGTGAAATAATGCGTGACCGGTGAAATTTAATAGCCGTTATCTGATCATAGGCTATGTGTAGTGTGAGATCTGAGCGCTGAGGAAAATATTATACTATCCTTGTGCTTTCATAGAAAGCTTTTCGGGGGACAGAACTTCCGGTGCATGTTTCGTAGTTCCGAGTCTTGAAGAGGAAACGTAAGTGAGATTTACAGTGCCGTTGGAGTCGACAACATTTATTCGACACAGAGAAGTGGGATAGAAGGTTGGGAAGGAAGAATATAGTCTGGAAGAGGAAATAGACAAGGAGGAGAAGGAACTTGGAGGGAGTCAAGGAGGAAGAGAGAGAGAGAGAGAGAGAGAGAGAGAGAGAGAGAGAGAGAGAGAGAGAGAGAGAGAGAGAGAGAGAGAGAGAGAGAGAGAGAGAGAATTAGGAGTTAGAGAAGAATACACAGATGAGTAGAACACACTACGAATCAAATGATGCGATAGGCTAGTATAGGGTCTAGCAGAAGAAGTGCATTTGAGAAATTTGAATTACGGACCATTTAATTGTTATTAAATTGTTATTATTAAACTTCACCCTTTTTGTTTCTTCAATCAATTAACCGTCGGCATTGCTGACTGGGGGCTCGGAGATGTACATCTAACTTTCACTAAATCAACTTTCAACCAAAATCGAGCCTGGGTGGGACTTCTATAATAATTTAAATAAATATTGGAAACATAACTCCCAATCCCCTACAACCCTACCCCACATTGAGGGTAACCTTTACAGTAAAGATAAGAATTGTGGAATTTCAAGTAATTTTAGAGCAAGTAATTCCTGTCATTGTTAACTCAGTTATAGTTTAGCTATTGCCTGCCTATTAAAACAAATATACAGCTTGTCCTATCCACGAATAAGGAAGGGAACCGAATGTTTCTCAAATGAATCGATACATAATCCAAAGGAAGGGAAGCAAATATTTCTCAAACAAATCTACACTAATTCTTGAAGCAGAAACACATAATTTTAGATGAAAGTTTCTCTACAAACTGTTAAGTACTTTATAAACGCTGCCTTTATTATAAAGCGTACTTTATGGAAAGGTAAAACACAGAACCAGTCCATAATTACGTATTATCTTCGGAAGCATATTGTTCTCGGAGATAAACTGTGTACATATACATTAGACATTAAATTGGTTATTTTATCTACAGCATCTCAAGGTTAAGAAAACCAAGAGTTGTTATTGGTGCTGCTGCTGATGATCGTCATCTTGGAACTACTTTATCAGTATATATGTACACACACACACACACACACACACGCGCGCGCGCGCGCGCATGCGTATATGCATACTTGTGAAGAGTGGGGCTTTACTTTCTCGTGTGCATCGATACTCACCCATTAAGATAGAAATATTTGGATGTGAAGTCATTTACAAAAGTTTGCTGATGATTTACCAACTATAATAATCTTAGATAATGTTTACAAGAATGCAGTTTATATAAAATAATTACCAGTTAAAGAAGCTTAATTTTCAACCTATATAAATTTTTCTTAGATACCTATTAAAGATAATGAACATAATTTCCATTTTTTTATTTGTCTTTAGAATAACACTTTCAAGTTTATAATAAACTGTTTATCTTCTAAAAGTTCTTATCAAAATTTTAGGTTTCTATTTAGAACTTTGTATCGGTAGCATATGTCGAGGAATGTGTGTAAGTGCCTCCGCCCTATCTACCTACCTACCTACCTACCTACCCTGCCCCAAATACATACGTACGTACGTACATACATACCTACCAAACTACGTACGTACGTACTTACTTATACACATAGACATACATACATACATACATACATACATACATACATACATACATACATACATACATACATACATACATACATACATACATACATACATACATACATACATACATACATACATACATACATACATACATACATACATACATACATACACACATTTTTACCCATTGGCCTTGAACACAAATATTTTACCGGGTGTTTATCTTTCAGCAGGCAAACACAAGAGTGAATTTCTAAATCTAAGTATCATGTACAAATATTGAGGGTGGAAAATAGACTATTTCTACTAATACTCCAAGCACATTGGGACAATCAGTCATACATTTAGCATGTGACCAGCTAATATTCATCTTGTTATACAGCTATGAAGTTCATACAGATGAAGAGAACGCAAATCAGCCAAGCTTTTTATTTGGTAGGTGATCTAGCATGATATGACCAGCTTTGATTTCAAAGTTCAAAGTAAAGACGAAACATGATTGGGAACTTTTTCACCTTCGATAGACCTTCTTACCAACCTTCTGGAGGGACTTGAGTGTCTGAGTGGTCGAAAGCGCTCACCGTCAAGGATCACTGCCATGTCACATCCGTCTGCGTGGATTCGAATCTCGGGTTCGACCGTTGTAGGTATTTGAGAAATCTTGCCAATAGCCTCTTGTTCACTGGTACTTTCAAGGGATTTTTCCGGGTTCTTACACCACCATTTATTTGTGTGTGTGTGTGTGTGTGTGTGTGTGTGTGTGTGTTTGTGTTTAGATTTTAAACGTAGCTTTAATGATTTATCAGTCATATCGCTATGACGTCTGCAGTATGACAGTTTATAATGATGTCTAGCACTGTGGCATCGTGCCGCAGACATGTAGCAGGATCTCCAACCCAGTCAAATTATTCTGACATCAGGCCGACAAGTTCTAACACTAACTTTCTAATGCTGAGCGTCAAGCGAGGCCATTTTTAGTGCCCTTTTATTAAGTCTTTGGTATGTTTCGGCTGAGGTTCAAACCCACGACCTCCCACATCCACGGCGGACGCTCTAGCCACTGGGCCACCTGAGCGGTTCCTCCACCATTTATACTAACCGCTATGTATAGCCTATCGTGTGCTGAAAAATGGCGTTAGACCCTACAGCAACAACAACAACAACAACAACCAACCAACCAACCAACCAGCCTAATGCACGTTTAGGCAAAGGTTTCTGAGAAGGACTAAAAGCTGCAAGTAAAGTCATATCTATAAAGGGCATATTATTCAGCGTTTGCCAAAAGTTATAATTCTTTATTGTTTTCATCTAAATAAAACACACACACTTTACTTTCATTTTCTAATGACACAATCAAGGCATCTACATGAGCTACAGGAATTATTGGATCATCAGGTTCAGGTAAACAAGAAACAAGATGAAAACTAAAACTCCGATACCTTTTGATGGTCCAAACTTCTATGGCACAGAAAGGGTTCACTGTCTCAAAGGTTAATTGATTGAAGAGTCATCAGTATAGTATTGTGGTTCTATGGCCCTAAGGTTCAGCATTGTAGAGGCTTGAGAGTGCGAAGGTTCATCGGTCCGAAAGAATATTTCAGTGTTCTGAAGTTTGATAGCACGAATGTGCGTTAACCCGCAAATTCTATTTGTACCCGAGAAAGGTGTGTCAGTTCAAATAGTCATTATCCGTAAGGAAGGTTTATTTTTTCCGAAAGTTCGATAGTTCAAAGGTTCAAATGGAACGATAAAATAGTTATTTGTCCATGTTTGATTAACCAGATCAAGAGACAATTGCCCAAAACGGTTTAGATTAGCTAGAAAAGGAGTGCTAACAATCACTCTTTTTCATTTTAAATACACACACACGCACATACAAACACAAACGACGAAGATACAGTAGTTTGGTAGGCACTGTGGGACATAAAGACAGGTGTCATATTTTTGGCCTGCAATGATGTATGTGTTGTATAATATTTAAAATGCAGTCTTTCTTTTACACTCAATCTGGATATATTTCCCACAGAAAATGAATAGCCATGTATAGCTTTCACTGTGCTGGAAAATGACTTTAAACCCTACAACAAAAACTACAACAACAACAACAACAACAACAACGACTCTAAGTTCTTAAAATAAGCAGTAGAAAAGCTTTCATCTTAATAAACATAACATTTTATTACAAGAAAATATTTTTTTCAAAAAAGAATGATCAATGAAATGTGATGCTATCACATTGTTTGATATCGTACACAACACAGTAGGCCTACAGCAGTGTATATGTTTACCCTAAAATATCACTTTCAGAACTAAACGTTATATTGTTGCGATTTTCATATGAAATATGATTACTGAATTACAAAATTCCCACATTTAATGCATTTTGTGACCGGAAATATGCAGCATTTGATTTGGAACAATAGATTGTACAGAAACCGTCAACGAATTTATTTTTGTATCAGATTTACATCCCATATATGCTATGTAAAGATGAAGTGTTTGGATAAAGTTCTGTCCGTTTGTACACCCATATATGTCCAGATTCTTCTTTGAACAGAGGTCCGTTTAGTTACTTCTTTACGTTAACATTTAAACCACGCTTATATATATATATATATATATATATATATATATATATATATATATATATATATATATATATATATATATATATATATATATATATATATATTGTATCGTACGCAGCAGTTCAATGTTATGCATAAAAAAGGTTTGACTAAGATACCTTGAATTGATATATGCGATGTCACACCACAAAGAAAAAAATATGTTTTCAATATGACAAAGAGACTTCTCAATAGATAAACTTTTTACCTCGTTTTATTCCTGATAATCGCTCTAGGGGAATGATTCGTCTATTCGTCGATTTGATCTGGAAATAATTGATTATGGGTCAAAATAAGGTCACTTACTGCTCGAAGGTTATCTACATTTTAATGAAGGGCAAAAAAATAACATTTAGAAATATTAGAAGATTAAAAAAAACATAAAACACAATGGCCGAGCTCGAGACTCAATCCCAAACACAACGGAGGTGAGATGGCAGTGATCAGTAACGGTGAGCGTTTTAAACAACTTTGCCAAGTAGGGTCCCTGTATTATTTTGAATAAAACTTGAAATTTATGTGTATGCTGCTGCACATAGTATATAATGTTCCTGTGGATTTTTTTTATAGATTGTATTGTGTGTATCTATGATTTATTGTATATCGCATACCTAAAATGCATCTGTATTCTATATTGAATAAATCGTGTCTGTTGTTTATTATATTATATTATATTATATTATATTATATTATATTATATTATATTATATTATATTATATTATATTATATTATATTATATTATATTATATTATATTATATTATATTATATTATATTATATTATATTATATTATATTATATTATATTATATATCTAAATGGTACCATATATTAGAGAAAATGTATATCTGTACTGTATTGTAAACATTTGCATTGTATCTTATATATAATAAAATGTATCTGCATTGTATTTTATATTGTATAGAATCTGTCGGTATTGTATTGAAAGTTGTATTGAATTCATTTGAATTGTATTGTTATTGTATTAATGTATTTGGGAATCTGTATAACTATTTCAAATGCACACGTAAAAGATTACTACCAAAGAATTGATGCGAGCGATATTTGAACTTCAGTATTTTGCAACGTAGTCTGACACTCAAAGGAGGAGTCAGAATGTCTGAACTACTAGTTTGAAACAATATACCTCCTCTGCTAATCCATACAACTGATAGTTGCATAAACACCATAAACCGTTTCACTTTTGGACGCGGTTGCATAAAAGCAAAATAACCGACCGGAACATACCAATCTCGTTGTCGTGTCTCTATTATGAAGTGGGATAGAGTTTATGATTTTTAACTTAGCTTTAAATTTTTTTTAGTCATATCGCTACAATGTCTGCAGTGTGGCAGTTTATAGTGATGTCTACCACTGGGGCATCATGCCGCAGACATGTTGCATGATGACCCACCAGTCAGATTACCTTGACACCATAACGACCAGTCCTAACACTAACCACTTAATGCAGAGCGTCAAGAGTGGCAGCTGTAACCATTTTTGTAAATCTTTGGTATGACTCGACCGGGAAGCGTACCCACGACCTCCCGCAGCTGAGGCGGACGCTCTAACCAATAGGCAATCGGAGCGGTTATCTAGCATGTATATATATATATATATATATATATATATATATATATATATATATATATATATATATATATATATATATATATATATATATATATATATATATATATATATATATATATATATATATATATATTTCTTCATATAATTATTATTATTATTATTATTATTATTATTATTATTATTATTATTATTATTATTATTATTAATGTTATTATTATTAACAATCTCGTTCTTCTTCCCCTTCATTTTCTTAATATTACTTGTCTTCTTCTTACTGCTCAACTTTTTTTTTCTTCTTTCTCATCTCCTCCTTCATCGCCTTCTTCTTCTTATTCCTTTTTGCTCTTATGTTTCCTCTCCTTTATCCCCTATTGCTTTTCTTCAATTATTACTCATCTCATACGTCATACGCTTCGTTTTCTTATTCCTATTTTTCTTTTATTATGATAACGCATAGTCACTCCCTTCGTACTCTTCTCCCTCTCCTTTATCTTCTTGCAGTTCCTATTCTTCGTCCTCTACTTCTTTGCATTTTTATTTTCTTGCTCTTTATCTTTCCGCTCCTTCTCTTTTTGTCACTCATTTTCTTTCTTGTTCACTTTTCCTTGATTTCTTTATCATTTCCTTTTTCTTTGCCCTCCTACTAATCATCATCATCATCATCATCATTATCATCATCATCATCATCATCATCATCATCATTATTATCATCATCATCTTCTTCTTCTTCTTCTCTATGATATATATATATATATATATATATATATATATATATATATATATATATATATATATATATATATATATATATATATATATATATATATATATATATATATATATATATGTGTGTGTGTGTGTGTGTGTTGTGAAAACGATGTTTCTTGATGACAGGTAGGCTTGATAACGAGTTTGGCGTTTACAAGAATAATACTTTGGTTTAACCGGAATTATGGTAAATATTTTGAAGCAAAGAATTTGTATGTGTACCATGAATTTTCTATCTGAAAAGGTAAGCTTGTTTTGTTTTACCTGTTGTCAAAATTCTTTTGTCGTGGATAGTCTCCCTCCCTCCATCTTCCCTTCCTTTTCCCTCTAAAAATGGTGGCGACTATAAATAGGTAAGTACACACACACACACGTACTGCCACATATATACATCGTCCATTTATATGCATTTGCAAGTATGTGTGCATGTTTGCGTCTTTTGTTTTAGGTATGTATGTACGAGCGAACAAAAGTAATAATAAATGAATAGACGAATAAATAAATGACTGTATGTGGTTGAGTGGACAGATAGTTATTACACCGATCAATAATTTTAGCATGAACCTGTTTCGTGTTCCTTTACAACTATTTGAACGAAAGATGTTTTCTTTTTCTCGCACATTCCCTGTTAGTATATAGAGACTTTCCAAAGCTGAACGTCAGTGAGGTAAATCTTTATCCTACCTTCATTGACGTATCGATACTGTCGTGTTTTGACACCATTAGGGAACGTGGTATTTAATTTCAGAATTTAAGTTGTCTTTGGTTAAACTATATGTCCATGTTTGCTGTGTAAACTTTATTTTATACGCTGTTTCTAAAGATCCAAATATCTTCAAAGGATAATTTATCCTTGCAATGCCTTAACTACGCCATTTTTAAAAGAAACATTTTTCATTCGGGATTGTAAAAAAAATTTATTAGCAACATGGTTTGTTACGGTGTAGGAGAATTCCTCTTTCAGGCTCGTTACTCGAGTAGGTCCGCAAGCCTCTTTCCAATCAATGAATTATTATCCCGAGTGTGGACCTTCCATATCTCACATCGATACCTACGATAGATTTATAATGAAAACTTTGTAGCGAGCGA